CCAATCAGACATTAACTTCTTTTCCTCTTGGAATGGGAATTGCAAAATTAGATAAATACTATTAGATTAGTAAATTAAATAAATAGTTTCTGCCTGTGGGGCATGTCGGCTCTGACAAAGTATGATTAGAACACTGATAACTTAAGCTGATTGCTATCTTTGCTGAAAATATTAGATGGCACACCTTTCTTTAAACAATCTATATTCTCTAGTAATTGTCATCAAGATTAATTTCTGAAGATACATGTACTAAAAGACAGATAGTTTAAATATGATTTCAGAGGACTACAATTATATACATACATTTCAACCTGAAATCGTATCCAAACACTTGTTTTCAAGTATTATGTTTTTCTTTCAAATTCCAAATATTACCTAAATTAGCCAAATCAGTTTTAACTTTATTTAGAATACTTGCACAGGTGTCACTGTTGGAGGTAAATGATTTCAACTGAGTACTATCAAGAAAAGAAATTAGCTGAACATTAGCTATGTGAATCTGCCCTCAGAAATATAAAAGCAGAGCACTTCGGCACCACATCTATTATGAAATCTAAAAATTCCTGTACAAGCTTGCCTTCAGACATCTGTAAGGATTCCTAGGGAAAACTGCTTGCCTATAGATATAAGTGGATATAATTCAAATAACTGAGTGCAGTGCAGTCAAGCTCCACATTGTTTTTTTTAAAGCATTGTTCTTAAAAGTTACAATTAAAAAGATGAAAACTAATACAAACTAAAAAAAGAAAAGAAAAAAGAAAAAGCAGAAAACAATAGAAAGGGGAAAAATAAGAATATGGTAAAGAATAAAAAGAATATAAAGTAATCTGCTCTCTACATGGGGCTCCCCTTGAGGAGCACTCGGAGGCTCCAGCTGCTCCAGAATGCAGCCGCGCGGGTAATTATGGGAGCGACTTGGCGCTCCCGTGTGACACCTTGCCTGCGCGAGCTGCACTGGCTCCCGGTGGTCTTCCAGGTGCGCTTCAAGGTATTGGTTCTCACCTTTAAAGCGCTCCATGGCTTAGGGCCCAGCTATTTGCGAGACCACCTTCTGCCACCGATAACCTCCCACCGGCCAGTTCGGTCCCACAGAGAGGGCCTCCTTAGGGTGCCGTCGGTCAAGCAATGCCGACTGACGACCCCCAGGGGGAGGGCCTTCTCTGTGGGGGCACCTGCCCTTTGGAACCAGCTACCCCCAGGAATACGACTAATCCTGGACCTCCGTACCTTCCGTCGAGCTTTGAAGACCTTCCTATTCCAGCAAGCTGGGCTGGCTTGAAATTTTTAAAGGGTTTTTAAGGGGTAATGGGTTTTAAATACTTCGGGAAGCCAATTGGATTTAATTCTGTTTTAAATTATTTTAAATTTTGTATTGTATGTATTTTAATCTGGCTGTGCACCGCCCTGAGTCCTTCGGGAGAAGGGCGGTAAACAAATTTAAATATAATAATAATAATAATAATAATAATAATAATAATAATAATAATAATATAATAATAATAATGAATTCTTCATCACAAGTATAAACGATTTTAGTAAATTATCACTTCTTTTAAAATGCAACAAATAATCTCTTCTTCCCATATTTTATGCAAGCATTCTAAATAAATCTATTGGGAGAAAATTGCTTTAAGCATTTTGGAGCTAAAAATGATCGAAAGGGAGATGCCCTCCTTGCTTTGAAGCAAACCACGAATTCTAAAAAAGGGGCAAACTTTATAAGAGCAAACAGCCAGTGACTCTGTCCAGCCTTTTTGACCAGCATTTTTCAATGGAACTATTCTTTTAAGGAAAACCTAGTGATGATTCCAATTTTCACCCTTCAAGTATTATGAATCCTGACTATAAGAGAGTGAAGACTGTGAATTTAAATGCATTCTTGAAATTATATTTGTTCAGGTTAGACAGAGAAAATCCAGGTGATATCTTTTTATGTTTTTTTAGGTGTCTGAAAGCTAGATGTATGATTCTTTGCTCAATTAGGCATCAGATATTTATGGGCTTAATCCTTTGTATAATTAGACCCCCAGATGAGCTCCCCGATCCTGTAGATTAGTATTAGTGTTTCCCTCACAGGCTTGTTGAGAAGGGAAGAGAATGCTCTATGTTACTACTAACTCCTGAGAACAGGTAGGACACAAATCTAGCAAATTAATAAAATAAATAGGCCACTGACCAGTACAAAGAATAATTTTATCCTGAAATCAGTGACTCAATGGAAATACTCAATGGAAATACAACAGCATTAAATAGACATCAGTCAACACAGTGGTCAAAAGAGCACATAATCATTTGGTTTTAGGTTTCATGGTCTTTTTACTGTTATCAATGAATAACAGAATATGTAGAGATAATTGGGGCTGAGGTTCTGAAAACCTGAGAGACCTAAAAGTCTCTGCACAGATCTGTCTTGGCCCTTTTCTTTGTAGGAACCCAGTTAGAAGGAAGAACAAACTGAATCACAGTGTGGCTTTTAGAAGCTTTTATACGTTGACTTGCATAGCTTTTCCCCACACACAATTAGAAAGGAAAAGTAAAAGTTTCTCAGACAAAATAAAAACTGCACTAAAAGGCATGACTTAAGTACTGCCATGCTAGTATTCCTTTTCAGATCATGGGCTCCATCGCTGAAATATATACAATTGTCACCTTATGTAATTGGACCTGAATGTTTCAAGAATCGTATTATTAATACAAAATAATCAACACTCAATTCGTTTGCCTTACATTGAGGAAATATTTTTCCCAAAATTGAAATATGTTTTTCATTTCAGAACTAATAAACACGGGAGGGAATAAGGGAAAGAGAGGGAGAAAGAAAGAGATAATGGAAGCTTCATATTTGTCTATGTACAAAACCCATCTGAAATTGCTTTGTGCCATTTTCACATTCTGCAAGTATGCTGTAATCCAGGGGTCTGTGCCATACAGTCTTGTAAAATGGATTTAACAGCTTGCTGTTAATTCATAACAAATCCATTTCTAATAAAACATTTTTCCCACAGCAGGAAAAACTGTCTCCCAAATAGTTTGAAATATCATTAGAAAAGGTTGCAAAAATTCTAACAATCACATCACATACCGAACAATATGATGCTTTTTAAGTAGCAATAAGAAATCTATTTTTTGCTTTCCACACTCTATATTCCTTCATTGTGGTGATCAAACTCTTTCTAGTAAATTGTTTGTTACATTTTACAAACTTATCTCAGTAAATAACATATGGATACAAAGAACCCCCCAAAAAATCACTGATACTCGACAACAGGTGTTGGGCAAAAACTCATTTTTCCTCTTTTTTTATGTGCAAAATTCATATCAAGCGTGTTGCTCATAACCTTTGAAACTAAACAGATTATATACACTGAATACTTTTACAGATGTTTACTATGTAACTGATGTAATAGTTTCTATGTACAAAAAGGATTTTTCACTATAAAATGGCTCACATTTAATGAGTCAATACTTAACACTGGTTAAAACTTTATGGGCTCATATTTTTCTGTCAAAATGTAAGTGTGTGATGGAGAAGACGTTTTGTTAAGAATCTCAGCAAATGACAGAAACTTTTTTTTTTATTTTGATTTATATGTCGCCCTTCTCCGGAGACTCAGGGTGGCTTACAATGCGTTAAGCAATAGCCTTCATACTTTGTATATTTTATACAAAGTCAGCTTATTGCCCCCACAAACCGGGTCCTCATTTTACCTACCTTAGAAAGGAAGGAAGGCTGAGTCAACCTTGAGCCTGGTGAGAATTGAACTCGCAGTAATTGCAGGCAGCTGGAAGTGAAATACTACCTTTTAACAGTAACATTAGTCTGCTGCGCCACTCAGGTTCCTTATTTTATATACTTTAAAGTATGTCTCCATTTTTTAATTAAATTTGGAACATTAGCTTTAGAATCGCCATAAACCATACAAAGATGGGCTTTTAAGGCTTCAGTCTCTGTAAAGAACTCTGCATGGCCTCTGCACTTCTCTGAACAAATACCAGTAAGTTGTACAATTGATTTAAAGCTCAATATCCCATGATATTGAGTTTACTTAGTTGATATAATAGAAAATGATCTTAAACTCAGTTCTAAAGGTCTAGGACAACTTGCCATGACCAACAAGACGCAAGTGACTAGTCTGTGGCAAGTTGTCTTGGGTTGAGTTGTCCATGGTGAATTAGTCAATTCTACAGCTCTAGTGTAGAATCACATGGAAAGCTTGTCAGCATGTAGGTGAAAAAGAATGGATTCACATGAGAGTTCAAGCTAACTATTTTATTGTATTCTGCCTATAATATAGGAATCTCCCTGGACTGCTTTTCTTCCCTTGGGAGCTGATAGATAGAGTTTCACGGAGATTAGGTGAGGTCAATGATTCAAGGCTAACTCACTGCTTGATTCCTCCTCCCTGCCTGCTGGGTGTTTCCCAATACTTATAAAACAGACAACTAAAATGATTAAAGCCAGAAAGCAGTCAGGTGAAATGTTTATACAATCGGATCAGAGGTGGGTTTCAGCAGGTTCTGACCAGTTCTGGAGAACCGGTAGCAGAAATTTTGAGTAGTTCAGAGAACCAGTAGTAAAAATGCTGACTGGCCCTGCCCCCATCTATTCTCTGCCTCCCAAGTCCCAGCTGATTGGGAGGAAATGGAGATTTTACAATATCCTTCTCCTGCCATGTCTACCAAGCCACGCCTACAAAGCCACACCATGACCACCAAGCCACGCCAACAGAACCAGTAGTAAAAAATTTTGAAACCCACCACTGGATCGGATCATAGCTGCATCCATAATAACTAATTTTAGGGTTAAAAGTTAGGTGTTCTAAAAATTCAACTGACATACTAAAAATAATTTGAGACCACAGTTGTTGAGCATTACGTAATTTACAAGTTTAAAAAAATATTGTAACTTTGCAAGCAAATTATCCAAAGAAATGCCTCTACTGTTAGGAGATAAACCCTTTCTTAATACTCCAAGACGTTTGATATAAAACATGACTTACTCTAAAACTGTGTTAGTGGCTGCCTGTGCATGGTAACGATACAGGAGGAGGCACTCGTCAACTCGAAACACTTCTCCACCTTTTCGAAGATGTTCATAAAAGAAGAGCAGATCCTCTGGGGTCCCCTGCAACAGACCATACTTTGTGCAAAACTTGATACAGTAAACTATTATCTTTTAACATCTATAGCAATATAACTCTAATATAATGTATTAGAACCTATGAATAAATGTATTTAATGGACCTTCAGAAATATTTTCTACAGCTAATCTGTAGTAAAGGCAATGAGAAACTACTGGAAATATTTGGAAAAGCATTTGATTTCTGTTTGATTTTTGAGAGCAAAAATATTCCTCCCCCAAATCTTTGAAGAACAAAATATAGCTGTGCCCTATGAAATTGATAGGAACTATGAGAAACCAGTGCTTTGGCAAAAATATCATACATGTCACCCAATCTTGACAAGAATAAAAAAAATTGAGTACTCTAAATTTCCATCATCATTTCAGGATGTGAGATGAAATGTCAGTAAGAGCCATGTATACCATTTTTCTTCATATCAGACACATAATTTCAAAATCCTATTCTCAAATTCTATCCATTATTTCATATAAATGAAAATGATCAATAACCTCTGTTTGAATATAGCAACAGTATAGTCATGTGACAATGTAAAACAAATCATATAATCCTCAAATATTTTCAAGATATTGTTCACTTTTAAACCTACTCTATTACCAAGCTGTCATGAGACAATGCTATGTAAACAAGTTTGGTTTATAGAAAAGACATACAAGATTAGTGGCATCACACTGAAAATGAATCATAAAACTAACATATATGTTAGGTGGCTAAAAAAAATAGTGGGCAGAATATGCTATTTATTTATATCAAAGGATTCCAGAAGGAGTAGATAAAAGCACAGCATTCTGTTTTGTTGAATTCTCAGTTGTTCTAAACACTTTTCCATCCTAAAGTGTTTCGTAATAGTCCTAAAAATAATTAATTTACAAATTGTTGCTTAACTGCCAACTTCATTCTTCATACTTTTATGATTTTTATTGCTCACAAGTAAGCAGCTCCAAGATTCTTTTTTGCTAAAGAGTAAAGTTATTTTAAATGAAGAGTTGTTAAATAAAATTCCATTTTGAAAACATATAATATGTTGCATTTTGTTTGATTTTGGGCATGCTGTATTGAAGACAAAATAATTACATCAAATGACCAAGTCTTCTTTTCAGTTTTTACTGCATGGGACTTTAATTTTGGATAGATAGATAGATGCCCAATATAAAAACAAGTAAAAAATGATCAGAATTATTTAAAAGAACCTCCCACCAGGAAACTGACACAGCTTAACAACCTCTTAACATCTTAACAACATCTCTTGAAATGTTTGTAATTTATGAAAGTAAATTCTAACCACTTTTTGCATTCCAAAGTCTTTTGTGTAAATATTTAAAGGATCTGTAGTATTAACTAACCTAACCTAACCTAACCTTAAAAGCTCAGTTCCACCTTTAACTTAGTGTTCATATTTGCCAAGAGGCAAAGGCAAAAGCAAGGAAAACTACAAAAATAGACATGATCTAATTTAAACCCAAAGAAACAGCTTGATTTGAAATATTTTGTATAGATCAGGTCTAACTATATTGTCCAGCTTTTTATCATTCAAGGGTTTTCTGGGCTTATTACCCTGCAAGTATTTTACCATGGATGATTTGGTAATATCCCTTCTTCATGATTCAGCTACATGATTCTCTCCAAGATTTAATATTCAGATATTATTCTGAGTATATGTAATTCTTATACAGGAACTAAATACTAATATTTTGGGGTGACATTTTCACAGTACCGAATAGATAAACAACTAGCAGTAGTAAGTACAAAGGGACATAAAAAATTGTTTCTGTAGGAGCCACAGATACCACAGATGCAATACTACTGATTGAAAAAGTCTGCTTATTTTTTGCCATTGGGTAGAAAGAACTGTGTACTGACTCAGCTGCAGCTTTCCATTAACCTCTGCAATATTTTGATAATGAAAAGAAGTATCTTATATAGGTTTCTATCAGGTTTAATAATAAGGGTATTAAAGAATTTAGCAGAGAATAATGAATACTTGCAGTGGGAATGTGAAAAACAACATAACCACCAGAAAAAGAAAACACCAGTTTCTTCAACCTACATTCTAGTGAGATTTATTCTTCCCTTGTGCTCAACATTGTGGTGATGCTATGTCAATGGCAAAATTTAACCTGGCTTCTGTTCTTCATATCATGCTCCAAGTTAAGTCAAGTTAACCACATGGTTCTAATTACAAAGCAACCTGCGGCCCAAGTTCGTGTGTGTGTCTATGTATGTGTGTATGTTGCCACATGCATATTTGTAGAATTTATTACCTCATATACCATTCCCAGTGCTTGCATATTTCCCCATTCAAACTATTACTTTCACTAGATTCCATAATTAAGAATACTGTGATTTAAATGTTCTGTGACTTATTTCGGCACCAATGTATGGAAGTGCTACTTTAAAATATGTATATACTTCCATGCCAAAATAGAAAGGGGCCCACTTCAAATAAAAAGGGTTACTAATTTGAAAAGCATGGTTACCATAATAAGGAAACAATGAACAGCTTGGTAGTTATATATCAATGAACTACCAATGAACAGCTTGGTAAGTTATATATCTTCAGAAACAAATACTGCTACTGGTATGTTAATTGTGATAAGGATAAATATTTATTCAGAAAGAAGCATAACACTTTAAAGCAACTTTAACCCAAACAACATCTACTGAGAAAATGTGCTCATTGGGAGCTACAGCAGAATAAAAAGCACATTAAATTGGACTAATAGAATTAAAAATATTAGCCTAATATTGATTTTTAGAACAAGACTATCTCTTGTATGCAGACTCCTCAAAAACACCATTACAGTCAAGGAACACAGGTCAAGGTAATGTGTATCTGAACAGTTATCACCATAACACTCATATATCTACAACTTGAATTCACTGATCTTTATTATTTCTTAACAGATCACAGGGTCCTACTTTTCCATTTGCTTGCAGACACATGCACGCATAAGGAGGACAATGTCCAATGTATAGTTTTCATAATGGTTTCAAACTCTGGTTTTTCCTGGAGCCGCCACCAAAGACACATCTATAAAACCTGTTACAATAATTCATTCATCTAATGCTTAGCCTTAGACTTTCCCCAAACGATACAAATCCAATCAAGACTTTTCCTAGTTTTGTGACTGCACCCAAGAGTCATGCCCTGATAGGTTTGTAAATTATACTGGTCCAATCTCAAAGCAGGAAATTTGTGATAAAGTTATAATTGCTTGGTTGTTTTGAAAAACAAAGTTAAAGAATTAACCTCCTGAAACAAAAATATATGAGCAGCCACAGTTCACTTGGAAAGGAGTAAAGATCAAGCAATGCATTGGATTAATTACCCCAGCATGCTTAACAACATACTATTAAAGTATGCTGTTAAGAAGGGCTGTTTTAAAGAAATTTATAAGCATAATTGTTTTTGCTTTAAAACTTCATCTTGGACTCAGCTCAAGAACTGATCTCTGTTCAGTTTTATCCATAATGTGCCAAAAATATCAGAGTCTGCATTTTGTCTTTATTTTTCCCCAGAGCAGCTAGACAAATCCCTAGGCAACCTTACAATATTTTAATTCAGCTATTTAAAAAATTGAATCTAATATCTTCACATTCCACCACTTACCAGAAAAAAAAAACTACTTTCATTTTAACTTTAAATATTCATTTTCTAACTTCTAATATTTTTCCTGTGACCCTATGAAATATGTGCTATGTAGTTTTCTCTTTTCTATTTTTCTCCTTAGCGCTGAACAGAATTAAGGACAAAACATATTTAAAGATTTTTCAGTTTCCATTAAACTTTCTCTTTCTGGGATGCTATATATTTTCTGAAATACAATAAAATATATAATTATGTTGATAAATTTCAGAAAATCAGTAGTGTTGAGACCAAAGCTCACTTTTCCTTCATGTAAAGAAAATGAGGTAAGAGGAGGGGAATATTGGAAAAGAAATTATTCTAAAACTGTTAGAAATACATATTATGAATGAACAAAGAACTATTATTCACCTTCTTCCAAAACATTGTTTTCATTTCCAACAGAATCCATTTCTATGGTATCTGCCTCTTTTAATCCTATCAATTCATTGTTTCCTTTTCTCTATTTACACACTATGCATTATATGTCTCTTCGCTACAAATTTTGCAGCTAACATTTTTTGCTATCCATAGCCTCTTTCACTTCAGCCTCTTTTACTTAATATCATTCCATTAAATATCTTTCATACTTTCTATTATAACTAATAAAATTATTAGCTAATTAATATGACTCTATTAAACCATGTATTAGTATGCTTTTTAACAGGGGCTCCCGGTTCGACCGGATCGCCTGATCCGGTAGCGATGGCGGCGGGTGGTTCGGAGAACCAGTAGCAAAAATCCCTGCCCCCCCCATGCCCAGCTGAGCTGTGCAATCATCAGAGGCTTTTGTTTTTACTTTTAAAAGCATTTTTCTTCGGCGAAGAGGTTGTAAAAAAATGCTTTTAAAAGGCTCTGACGATCCCAACTGAGGTGCCTGATCGTCAGAGTCTTCAATAGAAAATGGACGTTGGTCTTACCTGATATGTCCTTTCTCTATGAGGAGGAAAACGGCAGTCAGGCATAGGAGGAACTCCATCTGTGCAGCATAGGACTGAGTCTGCAGATTTGAATAGCTCCGCCCTCTGCTGGTGTTTTCCAGTGTTTCGTCGAGGGTGCTGACGCAGACTGACATGTCTTCCTGAAATGAGAGAAAATAAAATCCACCCACCCCTCTAATAGGAAGCCCCATCCCTCCCTAGAGGGTGGGGCTGACTGCCATTTCCTCCTCATAGAGAAAGGACGTATCAGGTAAGACCAACGTCCATTCTCCTGATCGGAGGGAAATGGCAGTCAGGCATAGGACATACCACAGCTGCATGTCCAACGGGAGGGAAGAAGAGAGGCCTTGCACCGCTAGGCAGTGGGAACTGCTTGGAGAACTTGACATCCAAATGCTGCGTCTGCCGAAGCGAAGGA